TGCCCAACCCTGTGAATGTAGTAAATACCACTGAATTGTTCACTAGATAATGGTTAATTTTACGTAAATTGCACCTCGGTTTTTAAAAATGTATATATGCGGCTATTGAAATGTGTGATTATATCCTGCGCATGCAACTTGGTGTTCACAGGGCTAACCTGCACCTTCACCATCACACAATGCTTCCTGCCTGTTTGCATACTTAAGGTGTTTTCCCATATTATAATTTTCTAGCCCTTTTTGATAAAACAGGATTAAGCTAATAAAGGTAACCAAATTGCCAAGAAATACAATCCAAGAATATTAAAAATACGCCATTGAATTTTAAATTATTGGTGAAGCTGTTAAAGATGCAAGATGTGTCCTGAGTGTTTAAGTCAATTCCAGTCCTTCTGCTCTTTAATGAACAGCAGTAGGTCTTTCTTTTGCCTTCCACCGATATGATTTTTTTCCTACCTTGTATGTCTATGTCAGCTGAAAGAAAAAGAAAAAAATACTCGTATGAAATAAATGACCTTTCTATTTCTTGTAGATCACTTGAGTTGCTTCAGACGACTGTTTTTTTTTTTTTGTCCAGGTGTCTTGTTTATCCCCCCTGTGTTATGGAAATAGCCCAACCATTCTGAAATCCCAATCTGCAAGACCAGGTGGGAAACCAACACACCATTATTACATGCCTGTAGAGCCCCTTTTAAAAAAGCAACAGAAAGAGACAAATCCCCACTCCTTTCCAAGGTCAACACAACCCAAGTCAAGGCTTTGAGTTCAGACAAAAATTTCAATTAAGGTTGGTTCGCTGACCCCTTTCCCTTCCCCAAAGGCCAGTCTGTCTCCTGGGGTGTTCGGCATTTCCCTAAATTAAGAGAGAGAAATAATTTTTAAAATATATACACATAACAAATGACTCTATAGCATCTATACGCTGATAGACAGTGACTGCAATGGGGAGGGGTGTGGGGGGGACTTGATAATATGGGTGAATGTTGAAACGACAATGTTCATGTGAAACCTTCAAGAGATTGTATTATCAGTCATACCTTAATAAAACAATTTTTTTTAAATATGCACATAACACAGAAAAGTAGAAAGAAGTAATTCAGTGCCGGTGCTAAAATCTTGGCGAGAGAGACAGGCGTGCGTCCAAACATACGGACACGCGCGCACACACACGCACACACGCAGCCAATCCGTAAAGCCTGGTGCCTTCCCTCAGGCTGGTTGGTTCTACTCTTTTCTGCCTGGAAACGCGTGTTGGGGGAGGGGACCAGAGGCAAAGTTCGCTGTGCTTGCTTTCTTTCCCCGGCAACCCCGCAAGAGGCTCCCGACTTCTCCTCCCCTCCCCCTCCCTTCGTTCCAGAATGGCCCCTGCCTTTCCCCGCTGCTAAATCCTCCATCCTCCCCCAAATCGGCTTGTTGCCACCGTCGGGTTAGTTCCTTGGAAGAAGTCATCTCGCTACCAAGTGTGGGACAGTCCACAATGGGGGTGCGGGAGGGTGGCGGGGATGGTAATGACACCCTGTACCCAGCAAAAGCAATAATTATTAGGTCGTATTTAATTTGTAATGAATCATCAAGAGAAATAAGGCCACTTTCGTTTCCAGTGGACCCCTTGGCTTTCCGTGGACATCTCTGGCCCGCGCGGACCGTCGCCACCTCCCCGGAGCTTCGCAGCTCTAAGGCGAGCAAGGAGTCCCCAGATAACTATTTAGTATAAACAAACCGTGCAGCTTTAATGGAATTACCTCAGCCTGCTAGTAAATAATTTATAGTAGGCAGTAAATAAAATATGGTTCTATGTCTTTAAAAGAGTTGTCAAGTGGAAAACACCCACCAGAGGGACGTAAACCCCGAAGATTGCCACGCTTAAAGACGCCGGTTGGGACGGAGGGGCGAGTAAAAGACAACATGTTTTTCTATCCCGAAGGAAGGCGTAGGTGCAGCCCCAGCCAGAGCCAGCAGTTCTCAGAGAAGGTTCTCGCAAAGAGAGGGAAGAGACCTAACGTCCTTCTCACTTATCTAGGGCAAGTGGTAAAAATGCAAAGGAAGGGGGCTGCACTTTCAGAGTAATACTTTCCATTGGAAAGCCTTGAAGCTTTCAAATTCGTTATCACACTTAATCTCCGGTCACCACTCTTCCAGAAAGATCAGGCCGGGGCCATGATTCCCATTTTGCAGATGGGTAAAGAGAAAGGCTCAGAGGCTAAGGGAGAGCCGCCATGTATGCCTGCTGGGCACTACTGAATAGGACGTGGGAGTTTAGGTCATTTCATCTCCGACCCCTGAAGTTGTTCTTACCCTGGCGCGCCTAGAAATAGTTGGTACCCCAACCACATACACTCACACTATCCAGCCCAGCATACTTGCCCTGTTTTACAGCGCTTCAGCATCTCTTCTTTTTTCAGTGACCTGACGACCCTCTAAATAAATTTTCTACCCCCTTCTTCGCCGCATCACCCCCGCCCTGGAGGGTGCATCACCAGTTTGGAGAGGAGGACAGATTTATGAGCGTCTCCTCAAGGTTACCCCCAAGACAACCTTGACCATGAAACCAGAATCTTGAACACTTGACCTAAATTTCCAAGGGCATCTGTTTCCGTCTGTAATTGTCACCAGGCTTCATTTGAAATTCGATCCTCTGTCACTAATGGTATTAACAGGAGCTGAGGTCCAACCTTCCAACGGGAGACTGTTGCATATGATTTTACTTTCCAACGAAAGTAAATCAGTTTCTATAAACGTGCAGCAACCCTCTCTCCCAGTACAATAAAACTGTTGTCGCAATCAATAAATCTCTGGTTTGGGGCAATGAAAATTAGATAACTGTTCTCTCTTTCTGTCTCTTCTCCACCCCCCAACCCCCGCCCATAAAACAAAGCCACTATTCAAAGAATGGGGCGTCTCGTTAACCATTTCTGAAGTCCCTTGCTGTACCCGGCGCCTTTCAGACACGCACCTCTCAGTCATCGGAGAAAACCAGACGTTTAATTACGGTGACTTTTGTTCGATCATTACGGATAATAAAGGCAACCTTTTCACTAGATACAATTATAACGCAAGCTGCTCCAACACCTGCACAGATAGCATTTGTCTCTAGCGTGGTTTCTCTCTCCTTCTCTAAACTGCCTTTGAATTTCTTCTTTTCCTCTGACCAGAGGATTTAATATGTTGCAAGAGATAGATTTCACGAAAACGCGTTGTCCCTTCTGTAGCTACATCTGCTCCGACCTATTAAGAAAAGTAAGACATTTTGATACTAATTGCAAATAAATTGTGATGTGTTCACCGAGTAATTGATTTAATGAAGTTCATATGAAACTCCTGAGATTGGCCAAGAGAAAGGCCCCCTGGTGTGTCTATTGTGGAGGGAAAGGAAGGTTGGTTTTTCGTTTTCTTTCTTTCTAAAAAAAAAAAAAAAGAAATAGATGTGGCGTGGCGGGTTGTGGGGGGGTTGAGGAGGGGGTCGGCACAGATGTTACCTCCGCAGCCGGCGCGGTGGTGGCGGGAAGGAGCCGCCGGGATGACAACTCCCGCCCGCCCGCCGCGAGCCCTGAGTCCCGCCAAACGAAGCGCAGTTCAGTGGCAGACGCCGGCCAGAGAGAGGATGAGCGGGGGCCGCCAGACGCCTCGGAATTGCCGGGGTTGCCTAGGGCGCTGCCGCTGAGTTCTGTGCCCTCGCTTTCCAAAGTGCTTGACGCCGGCCTCTAAACCCCTTTCTCGGCCCGAAGGCCGGAGGCCAGGAGGCTGGGCAGGAAGGAGGGGCCCCAGGCAGCAGCCAGCGGAAAGCTGCGGTGGCTCGTATACGCCGCCCCGCGTTATGGGCTGGGGGTTCCGGGGTGCGCGGTCAAGAATCAGGACAATGAAGCAGCTTTCGGCGCTCGCGCGAGTTTTCTCTTTAAACCTTTCTGACCAGACATATTTACGAGTTAAGGGGCTGGGGCTTGCGGGGTGCAGAAAAGGAGTAAGAATTTTCTGAATACCTGCTGTGTGCCAGACCCTATAGTTCACACCTCCGTCCCTCTCTCCGAGCAAAGGGTATTATTGCTCCCCCTTAACAGACGCAGAAACTGAGGCCGGAAATACCCTTGGCAGCAACTTGCCAACAATGTCCTGGGCTACTCTGGGCTATCCACCAAGCCCAGCTCTTAGGGAAGGAGAAGGCAAGTCTCCCCAAACCTTTCCCAATTCCCTCCCCCCGCCCCAGCCCTCCAAATATTTCCCTGCGTAACTTAGTCTGGAGGGGGGACAGGGCAGAACCGACCGCAGGGCCCGGCCCAGATCTCCGAGTTGGCGGGGCACAGTCCTCGGCTAGTGTTTGGAATTTTTGTTGCGTTTTGTTTTTCAAAAAAGAAGGGCTCGTTGGAGTAATCAGAGCCCGGGCTGAGCTAGCAACTGGCTCCAAGTTCCTCGGAGTTGCCTTGCTGATGAACTTTCCCCGAGTTGCTTCCTCCCGGCTGCGGAGCCGCTCTTCTGGGTCCCAAAGCGCGCAGGCCCAGCGGGGTTTGGGGAGTGCTGACTGCCCCGCCGGGCGACGCCGCCTCTTCCTCTGAGCCCCAGGGGAGAGGCGCCGGGGGTGGCCTTTGCAGCCCCACCCCCTGCACACTTGGGAGAAGCTGCGCCCGCAGAGCGCAGGCCGGTTCCCTCCCTCGGGTGAGGTGAAGAGTTTACCAGCCGGCCGGATGCAAATAGTCACCCTGGCACCCGACCGCGGCCACGTTCGCTCTCCAAGCGGCAAGACCCAGCGCGAAACCAAGGGAAAATCAACCCCCACCCCTTCTTGCGCCTTGGACATTTCCGACTGGATGGCGCTCCACACCCCGCCTGGAGCGCCCGAGAAGCTAGTGGGACCCTCCTGGGCCGGGCTGCCGAAGTGCCACCTTTTCCCCGAGCGGACTGGGCCCCAAGTGGGGCCCCAGGTGGAAAGCTCGGGTCACCACGCTTCTGTCGGGGCCCGCCCAGCGCAGGCCTAACCTTGGGGTGGGGGGGTAGGGCTCTCGGCCGGCCGCATTCGTTGTTCCAGCCCTTTTGCCCCCATGGGGCCCTTTGACCGTTTTTCTGGACGCAGAAGGATGGAGGGTTAGCTCACTTCGTCCCGGTGCGGGGGAACCCAGCCAGCTCCCTGCCCAGACTCAGCGTTCCTGAAACCCAAAAGGGACAGTCTGGATGTCTGGGGCCCCCTCTCCCACCTCTGGGCTTTGGAATAGGTGACCTGGGAGCAGCTTTCTCCTGCCCAAGGTCACGAGTAGACTTCCATGTCCACGAATTCCAGTCACTCCTCAGACCCCAGACGCAGACGGGGAGGGCCCCGAGTGTCGAGGGCCCCGGATATCGAGGCAGGGGTTGGCTACAGCGCTGCAGGGCTCGGCGGCCAGGCCTGCTGCAGGAGTCCTCGAGACTGGAGAGCGAGCAAACTGGGAGAGCAAAGTTAGAATTTGAGCGGCTTGGCCCGTCAGGATTGTTTCCGAACGACCTTTTCTCCTCAACAAGTGGGCACCAGCAGCTGATAACCGCGGACGAGGGGCATGCAGCCGTCGTGCACATTTTTTACATTCCTGGGGCCAGGGATTGACAGGGGCCTTGGAAGGTATGTGAGTCGCCGTATCCCGCTCAGTGTGACGTTGCAGACTGCGCGCCCCAGGACCTGCCCCCGTCCAGGGCTCAGAGGACCTCAGGACGCAGCTGCACCCTGTCCTGGCCGCAGCCCCTCGCCTCCCCCCGCTGCAGCGCCCCCTCGGGAGGGGAGGTGGAACCCAGCGGGCGCGGGGAGCCCGGGGGTAGGGGGGTGTCCGGGTGAAGGGCGGGAAGCTCCGTGCGCGCCATCCCCGCCTGGGAAGCGGTCACCCGCGGGGGCTTGGCATCTGAAAGTGAGATTTGGGTAGCTGGGAGTGGAGATTTACGATCCTGGAGGACAGAGCGTGAAAGGGGTATCATCATCAGTTTTGACTGAAAGAAAGAAAACATATCTTTAACAAAAAGAAGGGCCCTTGCCATTCACCCCCGTTGTTAGGACAACGTGAACTATCCTTGAAATGATTAGTTCCACTTCAAAGGAATTTACATTCAACAGTGAAAACTCAGCCGCTTTTATTTATTCGAAAAGACTTTTCACTACAGAGAGTCATATGTTCGGTCCTTCTATTTATTTTTCCGCATTCACGGTGCACTTGCATTAAATCAACAGAGAACCGTACAACGTACTCATGCGGGCCAGCCGGGGGTTACGGGGACCCAGAGCTATAGGTAGACAGGGTGGGGAAGAGGGCGCTGGGGTTGAGGTCTAGGACCACGCAGGCGCCCGCCAGGCCCGGAGGCTGAGGTGGAAAGTGAAGGAAGCAGGTCCTTGGAGCGGGAAGCATGCAACCGAGAAAACCCGACTCAAGCGCAGTCACCGGAGATCTTGAGCGTTTAGTACAGAGCCTGGCACACTTTATGTTTCTCGTGAAGGAAGTGGACTCCAAGTTCCCAGGGACACCCCAGAAAGAGCTATTAAAAACTGATGGAGTTGGCACATCTTCACCGGGCACAATTAGGGTCGATCTCCACTAACTGAGAAGACAAACCCTATCTCATAGTAGCTGGGGACATTTGGCCCAGCACAGTCACAGGGCCCACATGCCACGCCCAATCGCCTCCGCATGCGACCACTTGCCACCACATCCGGGAAATCAAGGGAACAAAAGTCAAAATTTAGGAGAGGTGTGTCCTGGTGTGTGGGGTGCTACCTACCGACGTCTCCCGGGCGCCTCTGGGCAGTGGCTAGGCTAAGGTGCGTGCGCTCCTGAAACAGCAGCAGCACCAACTCAGCTTCACCTTACCCGACCCCCACCAGCCCGTTCACCCCCACCCCACCTCCAAACTGCTCTTTTCTTCAGCCTGGGCTAGGGTTTCTCAACTACAAATGATGATGCTAAACTTTTCCTTGACGATCTTTTCCGGCTTCTATTTCAATAGGGAAGAGGATCTGTGTTAGCCATAGCATTCAAGAGTTTGTCCACGGTTTCCTAATGTTTCTGGATTCACACAACACCTCCCACCAACGTAAAACTAAGCCCCTGCCTTGAATTACTGTCAACATGAATTCTACAGTTGTCCTATCGATCCAGGTTTTTGGGTCTCCCTCACTAGCCTCGGAGGCCGTGACCACAGGCTGCTTAGCGAGAAGTTTAAGGTGGCGGACATTTGCCAAGGTGTGAGATGGATTAGTGACTGGGGAAGGCCTTAATTTTCCTGTCTTTGCAGGAGATACTCTGGGTTGAATGAGAACTCAGTTTTTCTTCAGCATCCTGGGGCTACTCTCATGTTCCTCCTTTCTCCTCAGTCCTCCTGGATTTATTTCACCTTCTTGGTCTCATGTTTCCTTTTGTTTCTTCTCCTGCCCACACCTGAAGATTACCCTGAGGTATCCCCACCCCTTTCCCTCTCTCTAAAGCTCTCTGGGACAGCTTTCCTGTCCTCTCATCCCGACTCTCGGTGGAGAATCAAACTCCAGTTGAGTCAGCATCCCAAGTGGAACTCCGAATGTACCGCCCCGCCCCCAGGTGGTTTAAAAGAATGTGCAGTCAGAAGATTTGGACCCCCACCCCTCCCCACCCCCATCTGGATACGCCTCAGCCCTAACGCTGCACTCCTGGAGACTTCCAAACTGGTTGGCGTTTGCTCCTCAGGGGTATCTATGCTTCACCGCAGGTAGCAGCCACATTTCAGTGTCCGTCCCTGTGGGGTTACTTGGAGGTGCCTCTCTTGATCTCAGGCAGGAAAAAGGGAAGGAAAAAATAAAGAAATAGGAAGGGAGGGAAGAAGGGAAGGAAGGAAAGGAGAGGACGGGCGGAAGGGAAAGGAGAAGCCCCCATGAAAGCAATCCTGGGAGAGCCCTGGGAGGCGTCCAGCTGCAAAGGCTTGAGAATGAGAGGCTTTCAGCTCCCAAGGCAACTCCGGTGGGGGCAGGGCAGGAGGAGGCGTGTGAGAAAAGTGACACGTCCGAAAGGCACCCCAGGAGAGCTGGGGTCTAGGAAGGACTCGAAATGTATTTCTAATTACTTTTCATGCTCCCAGGGAAGGGGCTTCTTTTAAGTAGTGTTTTAAAAGCTTGTTATTGTACTGAGTTATAGTCCACATTTTGAAAGCGCTGTTTATACATTTTAACTTTTTGTATGGGGTGGGAGGATGGTAAATGCTAGACATGCACTTTTCTGGCAAAATCTGTAGAAAATCAGGACTTGGAAACTTCGTTAATGGTTTTCTCATCGTAAGAACTGGTAAGGAGTATCAGTCACTGATGTGTTAAAAAATTATAGATTCCTTATAAAATAAGGAAACTCTTGTTCATGTCTTATTTCTATGTAATGTCTCAGCTCAGGTAGCTTGAGGCTCCAAATGGGCAAGTGGGAGTGATGCAGACATGACTGCAGAGAAGACATCCAGTCAGCAGAGGGCACACTTGTCACTGTCAAACCCTACTTCCAGATTTGGAGATGACAATGGTAGGTAGGGGCAGGAATGGTGGGCAAGATCTCATTGGAATGGGGCTCCAATGGAGATCTAGAAAATGAGAATAAATGTCTGTTCCTTGAAAGTAAACACAAAGAGAGCAAGAGAGGACCTGTTGCTAAGTTTTACACCCATAGAGTTTCCAAAAAGTAAAAGTATCTCAGGACTAGGAAAACAGACCCTTAAAATTCTGATTTGACCACTATGACGCTGAGGTCAGAGTAGCCACTGAATGAAGATCTGATGTTTGCTGTCTGTCTATGATACCTTGAAACACATAGGGCTTCTCAAAACCAGGAGGCAGCTGGAAATGCTGTGAAGAGCAGTACATATGACATTGAGAGCCCCTGGTTGTAGTATGTTCCAATGGGTTCTTAAGCAATTCACTTCCCCTCTCTGAGCTGCCATTTCCTTATCTACAAAGCGAAGAAATAGAAATGGAACTAGATAATCTCTAAGGTCCCTTCCTGTTCTAAAGTATGTGATTCTGGGAACAAAAATGAAACCTGAGCCCACTTAGAATTGAATCCTCATATTCTAAGATCTTCAACCATGGTTTCTAAAAGAGTAACAGGTGGACAGGGAGGCAGGTAGCAAGCAATACCGACCCCTGTGTGATGCTAGCTTTTTATGATATCCATCCTGACAGTTATTCTGAGAACCACATCAAGTAGATCTTGCATCAAGTAGAACCTGAGATGCTCTTACACTGGACCCAGGCAGCAAATGAGTTGTAAGTAGAAATTTTTGAGGAAACAAAAATCCAGAGACCAAGGCACTGTTCACAATGGAGAGACTGAGGTCCTGGGATGGGACCAGAATATGAAAGTTAGAGCTAGCCCTTAGAGTCCTCCTGGGCTCAGACTAGATATCCTTGGGAACTCTCAGACTCAAGAATGCCACTGTCATTTCTCTTGACAGACATGTGTTCTTCAGCCCTTTCTAACCCACGGTGAAGTTTTGGTTTTCTTCTGATGAGCAATTTTTACACTGATGTGAACACCTGAAGCGGTTGCTCGAGTGGAGTTTCCTTATTTCTATCTGGAGTAAACAATAGACTCATTAACCACAGAGTCGGGCCACCTCTGGTTTTGTCACCCCACTCTTAATTGGCATGAAACGTCTAAAATTGAAAATGACAAAGCCATGGGCGGCTATGGATGTGTATTTGCTCACTGGCTGAGCAGCTTAGGGAACAGGCAAAATCATGAAACCCTTGAAGGCCTGTGGTCTGCTATGTTCTAGAACCTACCTCCCTATGTCCCTTCCATCTCTCCTCCCAGCCTTATGGGGACAAGCTGTGGCTCATAGATGATGAAGCTATAGATAGACTCATCTGGCATTGGGCAAAGTCAGGTTTGGGAGCAAGTGCAGCCATTCATCTGAGACCTGCACTGTCCAGCATGGTGTCACTAGCCCCATGGTGGCTGCTGAGCACCTGAAAGGCAGCTAGCTCAAACGGAGGTATGCTGTAAGTGGAAACTGTGCACCAGATTTTGAGGCTTGGTACAAAAAAAGAATGCTAAACATCTCACTAATAATTTTCATATTTTACATGTGGAAATGATACTAGGTTAAAAACAATATATTATTAAAATTCATTTCAGCTGTTTCTTTTTACTTTTTCTGGGGGCTACTAGGAAATAAAAATCACACATACAGTTTGCATTTGTGCCTCTGTTTCTATTGGGCAGCATTTCTGAGACAGTTGGGTAAGAGCTCCTAAAAACCTGCTCTTCCTGCACTAGAAGAGACCATGCTTTCCTGCTCTTTGCATCTCCGAAGTCAAGGACAGTGCTTGACACATAGTAGGTGCTTACCCTTGAGTGAAAGAATGAATGCCCTCTCCAACTCACCAACCCTAGGAAACTGACTTTGGAAGAGACAGCCAAGATGAAATGCCTTCCCCAAGTAGCTCTGCCCTGCCGTGCATGGTGGTGAGTGAAAAGAACTTGGGAAATTGTAGGAGACCAAAGTGCAAGGTACAGCTCAGTGAGTGTGACCTTGAGCAAGTCACTGCTCTCTTAACCCCCTCTTCTTCCTCCAGACAGTAAGAAGGTGGGGCCAGATAGTTCCTCTAGGCACCCTTCCAGGGTT